AGAAAATGGTTTCCCCTTGTGCTATGTTAGGTTGCACAGACTTTTGCACTGCACCAGTGAACTGCATGGTAATGAGCAAACAGTCTTCAACAGCCTCATGGCATGGGGTGGACCCTCCGTTGCCAAGGTTTGCGCCCTGCCAGACTGCTTGAAAGAAATGCTACTCCCGCGTGTAAAAACTAAAATTGTGCAAGTGGTTTCACAGAGTGTTCATGTGTGTGTTATGTTAGGTTGCAATATTGCCAATCTCAGTGCTGTAGACTTTACTGTACTTCTTCCAGAAAAGAAAAGTAATTCAACAGCCTCCTCGCTTTGCATGGCCCCTTCATTGTTATTGCCCTGCTCCATCGGCTCTGAAACCTTCAAGAGTGTTTGGAGAAAAATGTTATCAGGTGTGTGCTATGCAGGCTTACTGTAAGTGAAAAATATATTTGCACAAAAATGAACTCATATTCACTGAACTGCCTGCTGGCTGATTTGCTTCTCGCTGTCCATCTTCTCCATCTTCTCCATGTGTCCGACCTGCAAGAGTGTATTGAAGAAAGCAGGAAAATGGTTTCACGTGGTGTTTTAGGGTGTTCTGTTCTATGTTATTGTATATAGGTTGCACAAACTTTGCACTGCACCCGAACTGTGTGGTGAGCAACAGCCTTGATCGTACTTCAATTGAATAGACTTACAATACTTTTCCCTGGAAAAAAAAGCGGTGCTGTAACTCAACAGCCTCCTCCGTTTGCATGGCCCCTCCATTGCTTTGCTCCACCATGTCCATATCTGGATCCTGCAAGAGTGCTTCAAGGAAATTGAAATTCATTTACCACTGTGTTCTATGTTAGTCTGTTAGTCTTGTATCCACCACTATCCACAGACTCTAGCTTATGCAGACTTACAGTAAGTGCGACTGAACAGCAAGAAGTATTGAAAGGAGACAAACACTCAACTGCCTTCTGGCCGTGTTGCTGCTCTCCATTGTTCAGCTCCACCTTCTCCAGGTTTGCAACCTGCAAGACTGTTTTGAAGACAAACGGCTTTGAAGAAATGCTAAAGAATGAAATCCTGCAAGAGTGCTTGGAAGAAGTGCTTGGAAGTTACCGGTAGTCCCAGACCCAGGTGTATTCAAGATCATTCAAGTATATTCTATGTTAGTCGGTGTTGTACATCAGTTGATCCCCGCACAGTGCAAAATTCCCCGCAGCAATTCAAAGGAGCTTTGCATTTTTCCCTGATGCACCAAATTGTCATACTGTACTGCAAATTGTCATTTAGACACAAGGTCAGTAGATCGCCCGCCGACAGCGGC